TGAACCGCGAGGGTTAGGAGGCTGCCTGGCGCAGATGCGCAGACGCACGTGGGAGACCAGAGCCGGCGCCCAGGAGACGGCGCTCGGACTCCAGGTCTGGATCCCACTGGGGCTGTGAGAAAGCACCACCGCCTGAAGCCAGAGCTACCGAGCCCTGACCCTGACAGGGCAGTGCTGACCATTTCGCAAACTGATTAGCAGGAATTCAGAGCAACCTATTTCAAGGTTCTGAATCAGGCTCCTATTTGACTTCAAGTTCACAATGTTATTGTTTTAGGAATAATTTTTTTAACTTTATTTATTTACTTATTTAATTTCATTTGACCAGAGAGGAACAGTGTGTGTGTGTGTGGGGGGGGGGCAGTTTGAAAAACCAAGCCACCAGGTCTGAAACTTGAACCGCTGTCAGTCACATGGGAGTCCAGTGCCCTTAACCACTGTGCCACCTGCCGGCCCTCACGCTGTTCTTTGAAAGGCAGCTAAGAGTAAACTGAACATTCTCGGAGGCAGACTAACAACCCAGACACGCGCGGAAAGCAAACTTCCGAAAAGCCAGCTCGTCAAGGACTACCCAGCTACAGAGGAGCTGAGGCCACAGAGACTGTGGTTTTTACATTTCAGTATGATGAGAGCTTTCAAAATGTGTCCCGTCTTGCTTCTCAGTAAACTTCAGTACTTTAATTTGTGGATTCGGGAGCAGAAAAAAAAAAACGTTTTTTTGAGAAACCTGTAAAATGGTGCCCTACTTGTCTGTCCTTTCTCGGCAGACAGACAGGCCTCACAGGCCCCTGGAAACGACAGACCTGTGCCCAGGCACGAGGCCTTAACCAAGTGCCGGCGGCTCCCTCGCAGGTCAGTCTGCCAGCTCTCCGCTGGTCTGATCTTCCCAGACTCTGTACCTGTGCTCCGGCCCCCAGCGTAACCCAGCCACAGCCAGGCTACAAGGCGGTTTGGTTTCTCCAGTGCTGCAGTCAAACCCAGATCCGGATCACAACAGCAAGCAGACAGGCTTCCTTCCAGGGTACAGAGGGCTACCTGCCCGACACCCCAATGGAACCCCTAAATAAAGCTCTTCTCAACGCGCACATGCCTGCTCACATGCAGTGCACTCGCGGTCTGTACAGGCGGAGTGGGAGCTGCAGGATGCCTGGTTGCAGGCACATGGATGAGGGTCCGCAGGCACTGGCTGCTTAGGTGGACGGGCATGCGGAGGGCGACAGTCATCTCCCTCCCAGGGCCTCCCACGGGTGTGCTCTTGGCGTTCTGCAGAGCATGCATGTTCACCTGCAAGGCTATCCCAGGCACTGCAGAACAGTCAGCTACCCTGTACCCACTGCTGAGCACAGGTGTCCCCAGTCACTGGACACTCAACACACCCACATTTCCAAGTGCTCTACGGGGGGAAGAAGAGCTCCCGCCCAGATTACAGGCCTTGAACTGGTGCTGCCTTAATCTGTGGCCTCATAAATATCTCCATGTTTAGAAAAACTATTAAGATTATTTCCAGGCCAGCCTGAAGCCTGGTGGTTAACGGGGCCGGACCCTGCATGGTCAACCTTAGTCTGAATCTGGGCCTGGTGGCTTGAAAAACACAGGGCACATGTGTGTGCGTGCCCAAATCCAGACACGGTGGAGAGACAGAAGAGACTGCTGCGTGACCATGTCCCACTAGGGAGTGCTTCCTCCCTCTCTCCACTGAGTACATGAGCCCTCCGAAATTAGAAAAAAGAAGAAGATTATTTTCAATTCTGTAGATCATTAATACTGTACGGCAATGCAACATAAACTTTCAAAGTTTAAAAAGAGACATCTACTCGATGGCAGGGCCGTTTACAGACATTTCAGTCTGCTTATCCAGCAGCTTGGAAGCCATCGGGCTCTAACAGCTGGAAACGCTCTCCATCTCAGCCCGCCCTTTATTATCCCAGGGCTAGATTCCCACGGGAAGCAATTGTTTTCAGTGAACTCAGCAAGCTTGCAGGCAAGCCGCTGCTGGTACCAGTCCCAGACACACAGTGGACTTAAAGGTTCAGCCGTTCCCAAGGATGGTACCACAAAAACCTGACACCCACGGGACATCCACCACACACACCCGCACTACAGGTGAAGGCTGGGAAACAGCTCCCAGCGCACAGTCCTGTCTGGCTAAGCCCCGGACCGCACGCTTTACCCAGAGGTAGCATTCGGGGAGGCTACTGTCACATGTGTGGCATGTGCATACGGCATGCGGTCCGTCATTTCAAACCTAGCCCCCAAAAGGGCAGTATTCGTCTCAGTCTTGCCAAAGTAATGAAAGCCCTTTTACTTATTTTTTAAAAGGCTTTTGCCATAAGGTGTGTGTGCTCAGCAGAGAGAGAAAGACAGACAGTGAGAAGGAAAATGAGAAATCACCCCCTGGGGGACACATGCCACGATCCCTTCACCTCCACTCTCCTCCTGGGACTCTGGGCACGGACACACACATGCCTGGCATGATTTTCAAGCTGCAGGGTCTAGGACTCAAACCACAGTCAACCATGTGGGAGTCCAGCACCTTAACCACTATGCCACCTAACATTCTGCTGTTTGGGTGAGATGATTCCAGTCTGGTTCCACGCCTTACCTTCCCCCACACTAAGAGCCATGTGGGCAATGGAGGAGGTGGCGATTGAATAATTCATGTCCTCTCTCCAACTGCTCCTCCACTTGAAGCGAAGACACAAAGTCACAGCGTTATAAAATATTGAAACACCTAAGGAACTAGACAATCCTACTCTACTGTAAACAACAACAACAACACAAGCAAGATGAGTTCCATACAAGCTTGAGCAGCACTCTGCAGCCTGAACACGGGGTCTTTCTACAGCTCTGTACGTTCAGACCGCAACCAGTGACTTAGGCTTCGGACGAGTGGGGAAAAGCAGCTGCTCAGGATGGCTGAGATGCCCACGGACAGCAAAGTCCTAGTAAATGGACGTGGCGTTTTCACACGGACAATATTTAACAGAAAAGTCTTTCCTCGTGTGGCCCAGATGGGAGCCTAACTTAGTAGGCAGGATGCATTCGGATCTCAACAGGCGAGCCGAGGCTCTGATCTGCTAACTGAAGTTATCAGTATACGCTTTTTAAAAGACAGGCCTAAGAACAGAAATAGAAATTCTTAAGAAACAAAACGAGAGCCAGCAGGTGGTGTGATGGTGAAGGTGCTGGACACTCCCACATGGCTGACCATGGTTCAAATGGCTTCTCACCTTCCTTCTCTCTGTGTGTCTGTTTTTCTCTGGTCAAATAAAAATAAAAGAATAAATAGATAAAAGTAAATAAATAATTCCAAAGAGAAAGAAAGAAAG